CGGAAGGTGCTAATTGATTAGACTAACTTCCCATTAAAATAGCAACTTCGAAAACCCTATAGTTTCGGGGAAATCATTTTAGGTGTGTCAATAGCCTGCAGCCACGACGAACGTTGCCAGCAGATGCGCTTCAACCGGGTTGTTTTTTCACATCGTCGAACGAACCACTTCAGCTTTCACCCCTCTTATATATCTTTCCGTTTACCCTAGGCCAACTTCAAAACTGATCTTATAATAACACTCCTAATCTACAAGTTCACACCGTCGAACGGACCACTTCAGCTTTCACCCCTCTTATATATCTTTCCGTTTACCCTAGGCCAACTTCAAAACTGATCTTATAATAACACTCCTAAATCTACAAGCGAATCCGTATTTCCAAATCACTTCTTGTACTGTTCTCCTTCATGGACTGGCTCAGGAATCGAAGCCGCACAAGCAAGGGAATTTTGGTTCTCGGAATTTCAGGAGGACTTGTCCAAATACTGTTGGTCAGCGGGACGTCGCGTGTTTTGAGATATGGCGCAATCAACAGGCAGACAAGCTACAGTCATTCTAGTTTGACCGCCACAGCGAGCCTTGTTCGTGGTACCAATATCCAATGCTTGAGTTTCCGTGTCATCTTATCTAGCCGCTCAGTGCGTCTTGTTTCCATCATTCATTCCACTCTTTTGCCCCAAGATCACAGTTCGATTCCACGCAATGTATGGCCTAAGGCTTCTGTGGCTGGCCTTCTAGGATAAGAGCTATGCGGTGGCAATGGAGCTTCGTGTACCCTAACGCACTCATTCACACACCGTTGCGTTGCGTGCGCAGTGGCACTTGGTTTCCTGTTTTCACCCTGTTGGTCTGCAATTTCAAATTCAGTTTGCCTTTTCCACTGGCTTTCGGCCCAACAAATGCGTTGAAGGGACTTGAAACATACAGGTCCACGACGTTTTGGCTGTCTACATGCACCGCTGTCAGTAAATAATCTATCACGATACGAAAAAACAGGTGCTGACTCCTCCTATTCCAAACTTCCGAATGACTGCTGACAGTTCAACAAGTAACTCCAGGCTGAAGCTGTATAAAGCACGAACGTTGTAACCAAGGAACAAAGTCACACTGTCTGCCTGACTGTTGGCAACCGGAAGAACTCCTTCGGATCGGCGGAGCTGCTCAATCGGTGGAATATGCACCTCGATTTCTATCTCAGCTGTTAGGGTGCTGTGGTTTTGCTACCGGGAATCTTCAAAGGATGACCAGTAGAAGCCAATACCCTCATGGCTGGGTTTGAGATGCTAAGGAACGGATATAAGCTTACTCCCGTTGTATTTTTATCCCTCTGTGTTACAATGAGTTCAGCCTTAAGCTAAACTGAATTCAAGGTTAATCCTGTGGCCTATTTCAAACGTGTATTCAGTGTGTGATATGTAATCGTGTGTTGCACAAACCGGTGACATGACAGAAGCGGTACTGCGACCAAAAGATAATCTTTCAAATAACATGTCAATGCAACAAGCTCAACAAGGACGTATAGACATTCGCCGGCTGGAAGCTGCCCGAGCCAACAGACAGGTGCAATTACAGAAGTGGGATGAATATGATCGAAAAATGCGTTCAAACGAAGGCTTGAGGCAGAGTTTGAAGCGAAAATCCAAGCCTTCGGCAGTGAACTTTCAAAATAATTATGTTTTAATCGACGCTGTGCTTCGCGATGATATTGACGAAGGTGAGTGTTACACAGCGCTTTTAGTTTTTGTTCCATTTGCATTCTTTCTTTGCCTAAGGCGTCACGTTTTTTGATTGTAATTTCCGGGACCTTACATGGTTCTTACATGCACGTGATGCCAGCCTTGTTGACACAAATCAGTGATATCTAAAGTGCCACAAAACAGACGATGTATACATTCGAAATTTCATGAGGTATTAGTGAGCATTTGCTACTCAGTTTCCAGGACACTTTGGACCAACCTCCCAAGTTAGCCTGGGGTCGTCCATACCTAACGTTACCTACCAGAGTTCCTGTTGCATCTTTAGGTAATTAAGTCGAGAGACTCCATTCCTTTCTCCTTGGCTACTACCCAAGCATACTAACGGACATGCAACAGTTCCATGCAGTTGCCCGGTCGGATTTATTTCCCCTTGAGAATAAAGTGTGTCCATGGTCTTCAGTACTCCAAGTGCAGTCAAATGTATGCTGGGTATTGTTTGCAAGACTGTAGGATTTGACTGGCATAATGCTTAGCGGACGGGAGCATGGACATTAAGCTTGAGCTCTTCTAGATGTCCCTTTCACACAAAGACACCCACATCAGCATTTTCAGAGTGAAACAAGCTAGATACACCTGAATGCTAAAAAAACAGTGAACTAGGAGTTGCATCCCAGTAATGGTATTTATTTCTGTTAGTACGCAATTTTGCCCTACATGAGCTGAGTGATGAACAATAGTAATAATAATAATGATAATCGTTCAGATGTAGCCACCTTAAGGTACCCAGCTGCCATGCTACACGAAGGAGGCACGAGGGATGGGATACTGCCAGATCACTCAAGCCCCGACAAGGGTAGTCGAAAGGTAGAGGTCAGGCTCGAACCACGGACCTCCCGGTCAGTAAATTTGCGCTCTAACCACTTGGTACATCTTGCTCCCGAGTGAGGAGATTATCATACATGGACCATTCAAGAAGCGAACGGAAAAATTTAAAAAAAATTAAAAATTCGGGGCCGGGGTTTGTAGAATACTTCTGATGACTGCTTTTTATACAAATGTTTCCCCACTTTGTCTTGGAAATGTCGCAACTGTGTTTATCATTCCCAGCCTTTTCGTGTCAACTTCACACCGCATCACAATCCCCATTTTGACCCATAGAAACAAATTAAATGATGATTACATTTGTTCAGCGCATCTTAAGTGCAAAGGCTAGCATGCCATGTCGCGCTTTTTGTACGACTGCAACAGAAAAGAGTGAATTATTTTGCACGAAGCTTGTTGGTACCTATTAAACTTCTCTAAGTACACTCACTGGTACACCATACCTGACTGTGTAATGCGGGCAACCAATGACTTCCATCATTATTGTGACAGGAAGGCTTCAACGGACGCCTGATCCTCGACACACGCCTAAGTAAACCAAGTCAACCGGTTCGTCTCTTTAGGTCACCCCGTCAACCGGTAATTACCGATGCACTTCGTAATCTTGTCTAAATGGGATACCCGTTAAACTTCTGAATGGCAAATGTGTTTAGAAATAGCGAGCGCCTTTTAGTTAGTGGGACGGATTAATTAGAAGGGTATGGAGTGTTGTAGTGGGTCTCCTGTTTTGCGTCACTGGATAGGCGTAGCCTCTGTGTATAGGGCGGGAGTAACTCATGCGCATACTGATCCACACAAGCGACAAGGATATCTTTAATTTGAAAGTGTTGCAGTTCGTCAATTTTCGGGAAGATTTACAGTGAGCTGTAATAATGTCTGCCAAAATTATACATTTTTAGGCTAGTGGTTTGCTGATGTATATCAGATAAAGTCGAAAATTCAACTTGAAATGTTTAAATGTTTAAATGTTCATCCTTGGGCAAAATTAAAAAAAAGCGGATTCCAGCGCTCCAGATCTCGAAGACTGCCTGGGTAATGTCGAGTGCAAAGAAACTAATCCATGTGCCAGTTGGGCCTATTAGGCTTGTCAAATACTAAACCTAAAGCAGCACTGCCGGACTAATTACATTGATAATCGGTGGTTGGTCAATTTTAGGGTATTTTAGTGCAAAGAGAGCAGCGGCAAATGTGTATACAACACGTCAGTAGACGTAGAGATACTGATGTCTTTCACATCATTCGGCGACAGTGCTTTTGAAATAAAGCCGTGGTGAGATTTGAAGTTGAGAAATTAACATGTTTTGGAGGCCATCTGTTTAAACAGTTCCGGAAAAACGTAACCGCGAGAAATCAAAGTGAGCTTTCAGGAGACAGACCCTCCAGCTATGTAGTTCCGGGGTTCTTTCGGAAGTGCACTATCTGCTATTCGCCGAGACACCTTTTATGTTATTTCAGTTTCCTAAATTTAAACATTCTAAGCTCTGTTTTACGGATTGCTCGGCATACTTTATTTCGCATTTGATCCTAACCCAGTTAATCAAAGCCATACCTGGACTGAGACAAGAATAACTAGATTAACCACATTCCGCGCTGAAGTGTCGAGAAAAAGGTCATTTAGTCAAAATAGAGCTCGGTAAAACGGTCTGAATCTGAAACTATATTCACCAGTATAAAACAATCATAAAAGGCTGTGGACATTCGCACGATATTGGTACTGGCATGAGGTTACACGAATACCCCCTTGTGGGACAAATAATGTAGCTATCAGATTTCGGGTTCCGGTACCATTCCCATCCTGTTGCATAGCACAGGTTTGCCGTGTTAATGGTGATTAGAGAGTCAAGTGACTTATTTGTCTCACTCTGTGTACAAAGTTAACTCTTCCACAGATAATGATTCGCCTACTGCAAATTTGTTTAGGCAAAGGACACAAATGTTTCAGGAGCAGCTTTCTGGGCATGCATGTTTTCACTCAGTGCTATTTTGCTCTTGCGGCTGTAAGCTGAGTGGAATAGATTTATTTTTTCTTAGAGGTCTATCTCAAGGAAAGTGTATTGTGGTAAGATAAATTTTAGATAGTATAGCTGCCTACAGAATGTACTTATTCACATGCACACCTGATTCCTAAAAAGGAATTAGCTTAATTTCAGCCAAACAGCCCATTGCTAATATTCTCTAATCTGTTTCGCAGTCTCATGAGTAGTATGTCTTTGACATGTTGTCATTATTGCCCTTTTTAGTAGGATAGATATTTTGAGGTGGTAAAGCTTGTGCTTGAGTTTATGTCTAAATACGGTAGTGCAAACCTCAACACTAGCCCTCCTGAGTTAACATAGTGTCCATATTTATGTAGGAAGTCAGATGCCAAAACGAGTGTGCAAGTTAATCAAACACTGCTGTCTTGCGGAAGCATCCACTAAGGTTTGCTGTCTGTCGAAACGTTTGAGTGGAATTTATGTTTGGCGGAAATTTTAATAGTATTTACGTTTTTTGTGACCCAACATAGTACATTTACTTGACTGAAACCAAATTACTCACATGTAACGCCGACTATTGTATTGCACATTTACGTGGCTATTGTTGTCTTGCTTTTTTCATATCCAAAGCACACCTAATGTGCCTTCCGCAAAAAAGGCTTACTTACTGTACTTTCAGGAGACAGACCCTCCAGCTATGTAGTTCCGGGGTTCTTTCGGAAGTGCACTATCTGCTATTCGCCGAGACACCTTTTATGTTATTTCAGTTTCCTAAATTTAAACATTCTAAGCTCTGTTTTACGGATTGCTCGGCATACTTTATTTCGCATTTGATCCTAACCCAGTTAATCAAAGCCATACCTGGACTGAGACAAGAATAACTAGATTAACCACATTCCGCGCTGAAGTGTCGAGAAAAAGGTCATTTAGTCAAAATAGAGCTCGGTAAAACGGTCTGAATCTGAAACTATATTCACCAGTATAAAACAATCATAAAAGGCTGTGGACATTCGCACGATATTGGTACTGGCATGAGGTTACACGAATACCCCCTTGTGGGACAAATAATGTAGCTATCAGATTTCGGGTTCCGGTACCATTCCCATCCTGTTGCATAGCACAGGTTTGCCGTGTTAATGGTGATTAGAGAGTCAAGTGACTTATTTGTCTCACTCTGTGTACAAAGTTAACTCTTCCACAGATAATGATTCGCCTACCGCAAATTTGTCTAGGCAAAGGACACATATGTTTCAGGAGCAGCTTTCTGGGCATGCATGTTTTCACTCAGTGCTATTTTGCTCTTGCGGCTGTAAGCTGAGTGGAATAGATTTATTTTTCCTTGGAGGTCTATCTCAAGGAAAGTCTACTGTGGTAAGATAAATTTTAGATAGTATAGCTGCCTACAGAATGTACTTATTCACATGCACACCTGATTTCTAAAAAGGAATTAGCTTAATTTTAGCCAAACAGCTAATATTCTCTAATCTGTTTCGCAGTCTCATGAGTAGTATGTCTTTGACAGGTTGTCATTATTGCCCTTTTTAGTAGGATAGATATTTTGAGGTGGTAAAGCTTGTGCTTGAGTTTATGTCTAAATACGGCAGTGCAAACCTCAACACTAGCCCTCCTGAGTTAACATAGTGTCCATATTTATGTAGGAAGTCAGATGCAAAACGAGTGTGCAAGTTAATCAAACACTGCTCTCTTGCGGAAGCATCCACTAAGGTTTGCTGTCTGTCGAAACGTTTGAGTGGAATTTATGTTTGGCGGCAATTTTAATAGTATTTACGTTTTTTGTGACCCAACCTAGTACATTTACTTGACTGAAAGCAAATTGCTCACATGTAACGCCGACTATTGTATTGCACATTTACGTGGCTATTTTTGTCTTGCTTTTTTCATATCCAAAGCACACCTAATGTGCCTTCCGCAAAAAAAGGCTTACTTACTGTAGTTAATCTGACTTGTGTAGTTGCCCACATATATCCAAACACCCCTTCAGCACAGTCCTTTTTAGCCTAGTTTGCACAATAATAAACGAAGCCCTGTAAGGTCCATGAAAAAACAGCCTGATTCTTTTACGTGGGCTTTTAAGAGTTACTCATTATGAGTGTAATTTATTCATTGTAATTTATTCTTTCATTTGGAACTCTGATATG